TGGCGAATCGTCCCTAGCTGCGAGGAGCAAGGAGAAACGGCTGTATTCACAGGATATGCCCTCACGGGCAGCCTGATAAATGGGAAAAATCTGTGCTTGAAATTACCCTGATCTTTCATGTCATTTATAGTGTACTGTGAACAAAAGTTACCTGATGACTTGTCCGTGATAACATATCCATCTTCGTCGATCAGGAAGTCTGCTCGCGGGGGCCTGTTAGTATATTGACGTAGCGAGGAGTGATCACTGCACCTGAGATTTCCTATCGGCCTTTTTACACCTCCATACCTTAAAAGATCCCTTGGTTCCTCTATTCTTTGGTTAAAGGTTAAGGCATATCTTCTGTTTTCCTCGAGAGGATTCAGTTGTGTCATGGTGTAGTTCGTTTTCTAGGCACTCATTTCGCTCCCGCTTGGTTTGCGGAATACATTGGTGATATTGATGATGAATTATTAAACTGGCTTTTGTCTACAACACAGTAATACAAGCCGCAAAATATCAGCGTTTTGAATTCTTCATGCTGTTTCCAAACTAATTTCTGTGATCCATTTGACACTGCAGCTATGAACAAAGCATATAAATCGTGCATTTACTGAGAACCTCCTTTCTCATAATCAATAAAAAAGTAATCGCACTTGAGGATATAACTTTCTCGGGGGGCTTCCTGATTTGTTCCATTTGAGTTTTTTTGTTTTGCTTTTTAGTATTTTGTTATGTTTTTCTTTTTTGGTTTTGATTTTAATTTTGTATTGTTTCACATTATAAGGTAACCCATGGAGCTGCTTTTCTGCTATTGATAATTCGATAACCGGACTGAACCACTGCCGCTAAAACAGCAGCGGGACAAAACAGGTGCCCTTTTTGTCGGATTAAAAGTAACATCAAAACAATTCGAAGACAATTTTAAGTGGTGATTTTCGGTTGTTTTAACAGGAAAACTAACACTTTGTGTAACAAAATAGTCCAACTCATTTCGATTTGTTCAGCCTCTTATCTTTAGAATTTACACCCTATTTAAAGCTAACGATGGTTTTATCCTGTGGTAAACCAGTTTGATGAGTCCAAATTAATAATTGATTAATTCATGACGTATTCATGACAGTCAAGGACACTAGTTCTGTAAGTCTCGGTAGATAAGGTCACGTAGCTTTTGAGAAAACTACAAAAGTACGTTAACTACTTTATTTATAAGGGTAGCTAAATTCTAAACACTTCTCGTAGTAGTGGTTCCATAAATGATGGATGGGAAATAGCCTGAAATCTAACTGACGAGAAATAGTTCAAACATTACAGGTTCCGACCCCCACTGCGACAAACTGAAAAACAAGCTCTATAGGTATATGTAAAAATTGGAAGAAACACTGATAAATTTGTCACCTGCAAATTTCCGACACGGTGGGAAAGTCGTGTCGCTGAAATGGTGATTTAGGCTTTGATCTGAGGTACGTCCAGCAATACTTTTCCCATCTTTTTTTTAACCTTTTTCTTTTTTGTCTTTTAATATCCTAATACATATCTGAGTTATACTAGACATAACTCGTTTTTTTGAAAAACGTAGCCGATGGAAATTTATGTATATATCCCAATTTGGTAGGCGCAAGAAAAAAAATAAGGACAATTATATGATATATGGTTTATAACCAAAGACAACGAAATACAGATTTATAGGCCTGTCCCGACTGTGCTAGTAAAATGCTGGAAAGTTGCTTACCGGAATGCCAAGAAGTTGCCCAAAAAATTGCTAAAAATCTTTAAAGTCTCTACCTAAATTTCAAAGTTACTATCTAAACTTCTTGATATTTTTAAGTAAAAGTTTATTAACAGGTTCATTTTTCGTTCCTCACAAAAATTGCTGACGTCGGAAAAGAAAAATAGCCTGAATGAATATCTTAGCTTTGAAGAGTTGCTCGCAAATATAATATATCAAGAGACTATAAAGGGGACAGAGAGGGCATCCCCATATACACCCTATTCCATAGGTAATTCGTCTCGAGTTATTTTTAGAATCGGGATAAAGTTACCTCGCGCGAGGCGTGGATGTTTCGTGGAGGTTTCGCATGACTAAACGCGGTGCAAAACATGTCGGGCGAAAGGCAATGAAAGCGTAAAAAGATCGAGAGCATTCCTGAATATGGAAGCGAAATGAGTCGGCGCTCACCTGGGAAAAAGGAATCTCTGGACTCTTTGACAACCCGTGAAATCAGTTTAACTCGAAATTGTCGTAACCTCAGTGCTTTAATAAAATGAGAAATTTCGCCGGTCTATTGAAACCGGTCGTTTGTACAATTAGGGAGTTTAAGATCCAACGACGCGGACGACAACTAGAACGTCAAAAAAACAATAGGTTTAATTAGCAAAACAACAACTTCGCACGTGCAACACACTTTTTTGTTCATTTCTTTCCTGTTTTTGCACGACTACGACGTGAAAATGCCTAATTTCGCGTTCTATGGAGGACGTAAACAAGCAACGACGAAATTTTACTTCTCTTTCTGAGCTTGAATATGGTCCCTTGAAATTCAGCTTCAGGAGGGTTCGCCTACAATTGACAAAGTAAGTGGGTAGGAATAATCGCTATAAAGACTGAAAAAACTCAAATTCACTTTTTAAGCGACGTTCTTGTCGCCGTCGCGCCGTTGGATCTTAAAGTTCCTAATAAGGCAAGTAGGACGCTAAGTGTTATTTTTTTGAATAATAAAAGACTAATAAAGGAATAAATATCAAACCAGAAATTGCTCTCTTCAAACTGTAAATTATAAATGATCCTGAGAGAATATTCAGTGTGTTGAGGATTTCCCTGCTGTACTGTTAGCTCTATACAAGAGAGGAAGGGCAATTCTTTTTTAATTTCCGTTTCGCGGACACAGCTTTCGCAGAAATCTCGCTGTAGTCGTTTTCGTCGACAAAAGGAATAGCAAAATCGCTCTCCGCGTCTTCCCCCTTTTTGTTCCGCCTCAATTCGTGGAGGACGCGTGGCTCTAGCGTGGGTCGTCCACGCGGAATACATTCGCGCTATGTGATTGCCCCTTGGGATCTGCGGTTCTAAAAATAACTCGAGACGAATTACCTATGGAATAGGGTGTATATGGGAGATGCCCTCTCTGTCCCCTTTATAGTCTCTTGAATATATATATTCTTTGGTCAGTGATGTTAAGATATTGTAGTATGAGAATTATTCTTTTTCTCTATAATTGAGCGAAAAGTGTATACGTTTTTTCCTTTTCAGGTTACCTTCAGTATTTTCTTGTGTTTTTTTTTGTGTACTGACTATACGTTTCAGGCCTCTTAGGATTAGAAGAGCCCGTTAAAAACGCTGCTGTACTAAGCTAATCAATTATTTATACCACAAAAAATTTATGAAGTTGTATGAGAAATATTCTTTGCTCTATAGGGTATCATTTTCCAGGAAACTAATCAATATTAAAAAATCAAATCGGTAAGTTTAAATTTACGCATCCCAGATCTAAAAGCTACTGTAGGATATTGGGGTGGGGGTGGGGGGGATTTGGGGAGTTTAGTCCAGTCATAGTCAGGAGTCTATCACTGGTCTAGTACAGAGTAACAAAATTTAGCTGAACTAGCCAGTTCAGTTCTAAACTGAGGCCACAAGGGCCGAAAAATCGTTTTTGGGAAGACCGCCCCCTCCCTTCCCTTATCTCAAGGTCGGGGTCCGGCACTGCTAGCTATGGTATAGGCTAAGGGTTCCAGGGTCCCAGCGGCGCATCCCCACCCAAAAATTCCTTAAGCGCCCCCCCCCCGGGTATAAATTAGCAAATTAAGCTAACCTTTAATTTTTTCTTGTGTTTATTTGTGTGCTGACTGCGTTTCAGGTATCTTAGGCACATTTAAATGCCTTTTTGGGTCTACGAAACGTTATGTGTTCCATTCAAGAACCTCGCATAAATTGAAGTTTTCTATGAAATCGTTGACTTTTTCGTGCTTTTATGTGCTCTAAACCTATATTCTGCTAAAAAAATGCTCAGAAAGTTAAAACTTGTTCGTGGTAGTTAGAACCGCAAAAAATTGCTTTTAACGCCGCCGAGACAGGCCCGATGCATGTAAAGACTAACGCAGACATTTTTACGAGAAAAGTTTGCTTAATTTCTTAACTGCCCTAAACCGGAAACCGCATATACAAAGTCTCTGGCACCCATACAGTAGTGTATTTTTCCTAGCACAGAAAGTCTTAGCTTTAGTCTTTCTGTCAGGAGCCGATTACTTGGAGCCTCCATCTCCCATATAAGCCCTTGGAGTCAACCCTTTCCGACGAAAAATTATTTATAGAAATGGCTTTTGCAGAATATTTTTCACTCCTTCTCAGTAATATCCAATCAGAGCAGAGCTATGATCATGCGTCACACGCTGAGTCACAGAAGCGGGATTTGAATTGCTGCCAATAATGGCGGTAGCCAGCGTGGAAGAGTTATCTGATGATGGTTCTGATCTTCTATCGGTTCAAAAATACCCGCTTAAAGCCTAATAACAAAAAGAAAAAGGTCATACACTCATGCGAGGTCTTCAAGTTTACTTGTAATCTTGACAGTTGGCTGCATATCATAAGTTTTATCACGAACAACCCGGCCAGTCCCGGCCCTCGACAGCGTGTAAATAAATATTGATAATCAAGCTCTTTAGTTACTTTACTTTACTGGTTAACTCACTTGTGCAATGCTTTGGAGCTTTTTACTAATTCCACAAAGGACCACACTGCGTCAACGCACAGTTAATTTTGAAGTAAAAAGTATGTTGTTCCAACTGTGTTACAGAGAGCCTGCGTAGCAAGCGTTTCCAATCGAGTTATTATTGCACGAAAGTTTTCCCTGCAAGTGGCTAGTGGCTAGTGGTGTTGAAGATACCGAGCCGCGAGGCGGCGAGGTAAATACCCACCACTAGTCACCGACACTGAGGTGTTTGTTAAATATAACTAATTGCGAAAAACATGTTTTCTTAAAGTCATGAGTGTAAAAAAGCTGCGGGCTTCGAGTTACAGCTACGCGGAGTCATCTGATAGAAATGACAGACTTGTTTACCGGGCTGGATCAAAAAAGGGTCCAACATTTGTCGACAGCGTAAACACAGATGATGGTAAGTCAGTATTTTGTAAGAGGCGATCTACTTTAATGAAGTTTTGTCATTATATCTATGAACTACATCCATACCTACAACCTGAATTAAACTTTAAACTTAAATTTCCTGCCTGTTCCTAGTCCTTTCGAGTTTATTTCACGAAAGGTGATTCGCTAAAAATAACAATTCTGTTTTTTTTCTCTCTCATTTTTTATGATTAGTCTTAAGTGACAAAACGTATATGGTGCAGGTTCAACGTGCTGCGCTTTCCATTCTTGTATTCGCGTCTTTATGTTAGATTTGCTACTCTTAGTATTATAGTCCGTCCAAGCACACACACGCTTCTTCTTTATTTCCCAGGTATACGTAAGAGGTTTTGGTTGGCTTTCGTCGTTGTTTTTATCACAGCGATGAAAAAGTGTGGATAAGAATGATCGTGAAAACACAGCGTACGGTACTGTAGTTCTGCCGTCGACGAAGCCCTTCTCAACTTCTATTATTGTTCACTCAGTCGTGTGCCTACATATGCACACAATGCATATAAGGCACGTTATGTAACACCAAGAAAAAAAAACTGATTCATTTTCAACAAAAAAATAAAAATAAAATACACGGCAGACCAGACTGTTCTTTGCGGTCTTTTAATTCCAGGGCCAGTCTGCATAAGAAGTTACGCATGGCTATTGCCAGGTGTAAAGGCGCGGAACAACGCGATTGAGGAGTTTGGGGGGGGGGGCACTCCCTTATTTGGCTTAAATGTGCATGTGCCGCTGAACAGGGTATGGATTTCTAGGTCAGTCTTGAGTCTTTTAAAAACAGGGGGTACAATTTCACTATTTAGCTTCTTGAACAGGATATCTTTTTGGACCGAGGACTTTTCAAAGAGTGTAAAGGTAGGCGGTAAGTGGTCTGCATTATTTTATGGAAACAGTACTTTTTCCAAAAAATCTTATCCCATGATGTTTGTCTAAAAACTAAATAAGTTGGGTCATAACATAAGGTCTATTTTCTTAAACAGGGGAGCTAAATGAGCCGAATTTTTGTCTTATACAGGGTCAGGGTATATAAAGGCCTCGGCGGCGCACCTCTACTTAACGGCTTCCCTTAGCCCGATATTTCTCAAGCGGCTTTGACGACTTTATCTCCCCTCTTCCTTCACCTGTTCCTTGAAACTCCTGCCACGCACAGTGACGGGCACTAACAGTGTAAAAAAACTCCAAAGGATGACGACAAGGAGGTATTAATATTTTTATCTTATTTCCAGTATGGCTAGTCACGAATCGGAATTTGTACTATCCGCTTCACCAAGACGACTACCGAGAAAGACGACGAACCACAGGAACAAATCCAGATGTTTGTCTATGGCAGACTGACATTACTAACTCAGATAAGTTAATCGTTGAAGATCATCCGAAGTTTCGGGGAGTTTGTGTGATTCAACTGAAAGAGGTAGTTGAAAATTTACTGGGTTAAGTTCAGTTAAATACAAAGTATCCATGACGTTCTCTAAAGAAAAAGCAGCTAATGGAGCTAACACTGAGTCAGGCGAGGAGGTTTTTTTCCCAGTGGCTTTAACTTCCTCACATGTATTTACCAGGCATCGACTGGCATGTGGTATCTTTAATGCCTTTGTAGATAAAAGTTTCAGAAAGCGTGATTTTTTTTCTCACGTTTCAACGGTTGGTCGAAGTCACTGCCATTTTTAGATTTTATCACTGCTAAGATCCTGAAATCTAAAAAAAGACTTAATTACATACAAATATATCTAAAAAAAACATCCATACCTATATCTTAATTCACCTTTAAAATTTCGCACCTGTATAAAGTATAATACTCTCTTGACAAGAGAGTTCACATAGTTCTCATGACTGATTTACTGCGGTGGAACCCCGGTAATACAGTCACCAATGGGCCCAAAAAAGTTGGCCGTATTAACAGGGGGTAACCGTATTAACGACGTTTTTTAACAAAAGAAAATGTATGGTCGTTTTGCCAGGCCGCCAAAAAAAGTGGCTGTATTAACGAGGTTACCGTATTACCGAGGTGGCCGTGAGGCGGGGATTCACTCCTTTCATACAAATTCGACGTGTGTTTTTATAAAATGTTTAGTTGAAGTTTTTCGCTCTTACAAACTGAAGAGGGTCATAAAAGTCAACATCTCATTGCTTTTCTCGTTCCTAAAGATTGCATTAGTTTTACCTTGTAGTGGACATACACTTTAATTTTAGTTCGTTGGCGCTGTTCTGATAAAATATAAGAACGAAATTGCTTCGTTTGCTTTATAGCATTAAAGGCTAATTCCTCCTTCCAGTCGTAGAAAAAAACCCATGACCAGGAATTTGGACTTAAAGTCCGGAAAAGACGAGGATTGGAACCAAGAGAGGAAGAAGGACCTTTATCGGCTCTCTTGATTGGAACCTTCTCCTTGTCTTAATACGGTGTAGCCTTTTTGGGTATGAAAAATGAAACTTCGATATATAGTATACAAATTTCCTTCTGTGCTTTATAATCACAGGGCGCAAAGAGATCCACACGATCTAGAGGAGAAGAGAAAAGAGAACTCATTTATCCCAAAATTATAGATGAATTGAGGTCTTTAACCTGGGTTAAACCAAAACCCTTTAAATCCCAAGGAGGAATGTCACTCATAAGCTTTAGTATGCTGGTGCACGCCATAAATGTCTACTTGAACGACAACTATCCAGAAGCCCCAGAAGACTTTAATTTCCAGGCGGAGCTAAAGGCTGCAAGCCACTGGCATTGGTCGGATGATGAAAAACGATGTCTTGCACTTGGGCCGCATGATGATTGTCGCGTAAAATTTGCTGCAAAACAGACATTTGATAAATGGGTAGAAGAACTGGATAAAGAGAGGGAACAGCTGTTCAAAAAATCTGGAGAAGACAGCCGCTCTACGGATGAGGACGAAAGGGTGTCAGGTAAACAAGCGGGGACATATTCTCCTCGGTCATCTTTTGATAATTTTAACCCACGAAATTTCTCTTTTTGATCCTGGGTTTCTAAGTCATTGAGACGGAATATTGGTTAGTTCGAGATATTAAGTTGGTAATTTACTTTTATTGATAAACTTAACTTTTCATAATGTTGGCCTTACTTTTTTAAAATTTCAATCCATGTCCATCCTTGCCATCTGTTGCAATAGACAACAGGCTGAACAGGAGACAGTATTAAAGCCTAAATATAGTGGACAAAGCTGGACCATTATTTTCTGAATTCAATTGGTGCGAAGACAAGTCTAAATAGCTGTTTAAAAGTTCAGAAGATCAAGCTTACAAAGGGAAGACAAAGCCTTCTTTCAGAATTTGACTCAGGAGATGGACTTAAGCTAACTGAGCCAGGAGATAGTGTTCCTAGAAACAAGACCTCGAAGCGAGGTATCAGGTCTTTATCATCAAAGCGTCCTGTGAACCAATCTGTGAACCAATTGAAGGTGTAAAGTTAACTGTTAGGGTCTCATGTATTTCGTTAAAGGGCATTTTAATGTGGTTAAATATTGTAACTTAGACAAGGATAACCTCAAGACATCACTAGCGGTTTAGCGTCAGAGCCCCAGGCAGGCAGACTTGCGGGGGGTGACCGCGCCAGGGTCTGCAGTGACTTGCATGTGAGTGCATAACTCAGCTTTGCCTGCTTTGCTTTGCTGATCTTTGCAGATCATTGTGAATTCAACCCCTTTTTGCATACATGAAAACAATGACCCACCCCCATTATTTTTCCAGCCTACCCCCACCTGTACTTTATGACTAGTCTCTAAGTGTATACGACACACCTTTCTAAACCGCGAAAATTTTTGGATCAAAACTAACCAATCGAAATGAAAGTTCTTAGGTGGCCCCGGTTGAAGTCGTCACACTGTAATATTTTACCCTAGACTGCAAAACAGTCGGGTTTTTTTCTCAAAATCAGTAAAGAAATCGGTAAAGCGTGGCGTATTTCTAGCGTCTCTCCCCAGTCTCGCTCTCTGTTTTCAGCCTCGTTCTAGACCTTTCGTTTGACTGCTCGCGCGCACTTGAATACGAAAAAAAAAATACGGACTGTTTTGCAGTAAAATTTTCCCCTTTTTTTATAAACTGAAATGAATACGAATTAAATTTCTCCTGTTCCTTTTTCCTGAAGATCTTGAGGAAGGAATTTTTTCCTTGATGATGTATTATAATTTTGAGATGAAAAACGAATCACCAACTACGGTTCACTGGGCTGCGAAAGGTAAAACGTTGTGAGTATTTGTTGCCGCCATATTCGGCTCTAATAATGCTATAGAGTGTTTTCACATGACGTCACGGCGGCCATATTGCTGGTTTTCAGTGTCACGCCATTCAAAATAGGTCAAAATAAAAATCAAAACCATTCGACAGATAAACTCCAGAATCTGGGAAATGGAAGGAGGTAAGTAAACAAAGACCCACGCCAAGATTTGGGTCGAAAGAATAATTTGTATACGAGATATCCGAGGAAATGTTTTACCCAAATTTATAGAGCTTTGTATGGAGACGCCATGCCAGAGCTCATCCGGATGAGCTCCAACATGGCGGACGGAAACCAACAGAAACATCTGTTACCGAATTTTGCTACAAAAGCGTGAATTTACTCCTAGAGGAACTCATGAACATTAAAGTAATAATTTTTCTAATACATGAACTGTTTAGATAGCAAAATTCCTCGAAAAAAGCCACTTTTTTTAACCTAAATGACAGCTCTCTCGGCCGTCATGTAAATGCTGCGTCACGCAAAAGCTTAGAGAATTCAAGTGTTTTCTATTACAAAACCAAGAACCCTTTTGAAGCGAAAATTAGTTTTCAGGTGCTCTAATACACCATGAAAGTAAAATCTCAGTAGGATCGATAGTTTTGTAGTTTGACTTTTAGTGACGTTATGTGAAAACCAACAATGGGTGTCCCAAAACAATGAAACGGCGGCCATGTTGATGTCCTAAACCAGTCCTCTGGGAGCTGAACTCTTGTCTTATGCAAACGCTTTTTTTTGTTCCAATAAATTTGCATAGATGCTGGCCACGTGAGTGAAAACACTCTATAGCTAGGTAAAGTCTTGATAAGTTTTACTTAAATGTAACATTTTTTTATGTATTCTTTAACGTTGGTCTCGTCTTTACAACAGTTTTCATCATTCCTCATGTTTTTCTTACGTCTTGCAAACACCTATTTTCAGGTACCTGTAGTCTGTAGTTTCCGGGATACCTCAGGGAACCATATTGGGTCCCATTCTCTTTTTGATATGTTTATTAATGATCTACCTACCAACACCACACCTGGTATTAAACTCTTCGCCGACGACTGTGTTCTTTACTGCCCGATTAATTCCGTAAGGGACCATTTCGCCCTCCAGCGAGGCCTCGATCAACTAGAGAAGTGGGCCTACACATGGCAGATGAAATTTGCTCCTACAAAATGTTTTGTTATGTCCGTCACCTTGAAGAATTCTCCTTCCCAGTTTAGTTACTCCCTTTGTAATGCGCAGCTCGACGGTGCTTTCCACCAAAAGTATTTCGGCGTCTAAAAAGAAGGCTATGATAGTCTTGAGGATCCTTCAAAGGAATCTCCCATCGTGCGATCGATCGGTTAAGGCACGCGCATATCTATCCTTAGTGCGTCCGATTGTTGAATACGCCACGGTTGCTTGGTCTCCGCATACAAATAAAGGGATTGACTGTATCGAATCCGTTCAACGCCGCGCAGCACGTTTTGTTAACAGCGATTACAGCCGCTATTGTAGCGTTTCATCTATACTTACTGATTTGAACTGGCCTTCACTGCAGTCAAGGCGCAGGATATGCGATCTCGGCATGTTCTATGAGATTCATAGAGGTCAAGTCAACATCTCCCTTCCCTATGACCCTACCTCTGTGCCTGCGTATGGCCATACAAGGGCGAGTCACGACTTTAAGATCAGGCTACCATCCTCTTCAGGCGACGCTTACAAACACTCTTTCTATGTGAGATTAATCCCTGCGTGGAACGCGTTATCAGTTGATGTTGTTAGTTCGGCATCTTTCTCAGAATTTATCCCAAGAGTGTCCACTACTTTAACATATTAACTTAATCACATCGTTTATTTTCATACCATGTAATTCAATACCATGTAAATGTTTCATTGAAATTTCATACCATGTATTTGAGCGACCGCTGGCCGCTCTATTGCCGGATTAGCATACACGCTATTGGCAATTACCTTGATTAAAGATTAAAGATTAAAGTTTAAAGAGGTACCAACTGCATTCCTTCCCCACCTCTACATCTAGAAAAGGCTTTGTAAATTGATGCAATGTAATCAGTTATTACAATGCAATTCAACTGCCATTGCTGTCACGCGGTATGGTAACCGAAATTACAAGCCACGTCGCGAAATAAAGCTCGATAGGTGAGGCAAGAGCGGACTTCCCGGAACTGACCCCCTTAATTTTTTCGTTTAATTTGAAGGTTCAACTTCCCCTAAAATTACGGAAAATGCCGGACGCCAAAGATTGGGCAGAAACGCAGGAAAAAAGAGGTGAGCTCAGCCAGTAATAAACATTATGATGACCGACATAGTCAATCTGTATACATGGAGTTATAAGGAGAGCAAAACATCTTAATCTTTTTTTTTTTCAATTCGAGGCCCAAAAGCCTTCTTTTCAAAAAGCCCACCAAGCTCTCAATTGCCGGCACTAGCTTCACGCTGTTTAAACTGCTATAGTTTTAAAAAAAGTTAACGGCCTAAGCCACTTTGCTACCATCTCGATCCCAGTCGAAGACATCGTTACAAACGGGAAAAGCACAAACTAAGAAGCAGTCTGTATTGGATACCGATTTCGAGTAGTGCAACGTACCATCGTCTCGGCAAAGGAGTTGCTAAGAGACCGGTCATAAATTAGAGTAGGGGCAGGGCTGTTGCTTCAGGTGCAGAAAAAATGTTGACCCTTTAAACTAGTTTCCATAAATCGTCATGCCTCCCCTCTGGATTTGCGCTTGTATTTCAAACTCACTGAAACTTTTCAATATATATACGCCGAGTTTTCCTCATGTCACCCATCGGGAGTGAACTCCTTAGGGGTTTGTATAAGAAGAGACCTTAAGACTTTGGAGAACTAACTCTTCAAACACTTGTTTAATGATTTAAGAGGGAATAAAAGACTTTAAAGAACATCTCCTAAATAGAGGTAAACATAACTAAGAAAATCTAATACAGAAAACACTTTTATAAGTGAATTTTGTAGACAGAAATGACAAGCCCTCCAATGAAAGCGTAAAGAACGGAACAAAACGCCCTGTTAGTGGAAAATTCCGACAAACGACTTGGCCTTGTGACAAGATTTTTGGAAGAGAGGAACTAAGGCAAAAGTGCTAGCTATGAGAGTGACTGAGTGTGTCTTAAAATCCAGTTCAGGACTCGACTTTAGAAAGCAATGTTAATGTCAAGTTGTTTCACATATTTACATCACTGCAGAAACTAATTGTTAAGTTATTGTAGTTGGTCACAAGATATAACGTTTTTATTCTCTTTTGACAATGCCGTACTTATCCTTTTATGTTTGTTGTTGTTGTTTATACGCAACTTAGGAGAGGTCTTGGGTATATGTGAAAAGAAGGACCCAGAAGTTACATCATGGACTGTTAAAACATTTTTCTCGTCTACCTTCATCAGATTCAATAAGTGTTTAGTATTATTTACAGAAGGTTGACATCATTCTAAGCCTGAGAAGATCGATTTCATTTATACTCCCTAACCCTAAAAACTTTGCATGAAACCTTCTTTTCTGCGTTGACATGAAAATAGAGGCGCTCTCCATATTTTCACCATCTGACTTCCCTCTAATTTATGACTGGTCCCTATAAGCTGCCTATGAGACAATTAAACAATTATTTTGTCCGCCCATACTTAGCCCAGAAGTAATTATCAAAGTCAACTAAATTCCTCACGGTTTTAGGTAAGAATAATGGTATAAATCTTACTCTTGACGTCCAGGTAAAAATTCAAACTCAGCAACACCGACCTACACCAACGGTACCTGAGGAGAAAGATAAGATACAATCAAATCTCAGAAACTGTATTTTGCTAAAAGTCCCGACTTGGATTTACTATTGTTTTTTATGCATACTCGCTGTTGGGCTACTCAAATCCTCGCACTGGCCTTAGTACTGTCAGCAATGTGATTGTTGTTTTTTTTTTAAAAATAGTTTTTGATATGACAGAAGCCTTGTTGTATTAAGCCATATAGATACACTGCACATGCTTGTTTAACGTTTTTCGAGTTATATTAACCTTATCAATAACATATCCACCCATTTACCTACACAGAAAATATCAGGAAACAAGCCTGGAACTAGCTGAGTCATTGGCCCACTTCACAGTGGAAAGTTAAGGACGGTTGTTTATTCGACCGGCTAGACCGGGGGGCGCACCCCCACCCCCGGGCTGGACCTTCGTGTTATGGACACTGCACAAAAAGAAAACTTCCACAAAGCAATAAGTCAAGTCGTACGATATTTGAAAAATATTCCCCAAAACAAACTGGGACAATAAACCTTCAACCAAGCACCATGAAATTGAACTACAACATATGCAATTTAGCGGGAAAGATTTCACAAATGGCAAGCATGGTCACAGGACTGATCCTCAACAAAGTTCTTTGCTCTGAAAGTTTCATAACTTAAGCATCCTTTTATACACAGATCAAATTTTTGATCACGATTACCTCGATTTTTAAGGTTTTTATAAAGTGGAATACATTTACGTAATTTAAAACGACGGATCAAAGACGGCGAATGCTTCCAGTTCCTTCTTTAATGACGTCATCACGACATCACTGCTATTGTTTGACCCTTTAAACCATAACATCAAAATTCAAATTCTCATTTGTTATCCCTATACGTTTTCAAAAGAAGTAGTGGGGAGAATTTGTTGAAGTATCAATTAGATTCGTCTTGGTTGATCATTTCCTTAATTCTCATGACCACTCTGTTTTATAAAGCAGTGATATTACAATTAAGGAGATATTTGACGCTCATCACTCTTAGGGCTTAAAAGGTTAAGACAAATAATGTGTCAGCCAACTTCTTGTTGATATCAGACACTTTACTACTATTTGTTAATAATCATTTTTCGCTTTATGGCTACTTTGAGGGGAATTGGGGTTCTGCCAATAAATACTTCATAATAACATCAATTTTCATCATTGTGTCAATCAAACGGTTTGCCTAACTATCACAAATGATTAATACACCATTCCGTCTAATTTTAGTGGCTGTATCATGAGCGGTTTTTAATTATAGCGCAATCGTTCAATCAATGCTTCCGATGTAATAAAAATCGACGATTCTGCGACGTATAAAATGAATTTAATTCGTCTGAAGAATTAAATCCGTCCAAGACGGAGGATGAAAACGTCTGTAGAGCGTCTCATTTTAGAGGTCACACACTTACGAAAATTGAGCCGGCAGGCTGTCGTGGCGCCGGTTTCCTCACTTTGCGTGGGCACAAGTTCTCTGCAGCATTCTCATTCCCAGAGCGCTCGCTTTATTTGGTCAAGTGATTTGAGAATAAAGCCAGGCGCCCCTGGGGACAAGATTGTCGATTTAACGTCATTTTTGTTGTTTTCCCGCGTGCCTTCTCGAGTAGTTCCATCTTCTGACAAAATGCAACTAGAAATTTGATTGGAGTGAATATCATCCCTGAACTAACTCTGTTCGTGCTAAAGCGGTTGTTGAAAGAATTTTCCTTCAGTGTTAGTATGTAAGTCATTCGACACTAGACACTCTTTAATAAATTGCAGTTTTATAACGGTTATAACGGTTATAACGGTTTTAGTTCGGTCAGTCGCGTGCTTAGATTTCTGCCGGTTTCACCAATGTAAGAAGCCTGGCGGTCGCAGCATTTGATCTTGTATACTGCTCCCTGTCTGTCCTCCGAACACAAACGAGCGACGAGGAATGGTGACGTCAACAATCAGATTGCTGAGCACCATTTAAAGACGAAACATCAAATTGACTGAGACTCTGCGACATGTATAACGTATTCTAGAGACTACTATCAACGTCTTACTTTAGAAAGCTGGTTTACTAACTTAGAACAAACGCCACTGAATGGTAGCCAACAGTTACCAGCGCCGTACAAACGACTTATTGACGAGATCAAGCAAAACTAACTACGAGAAAAACGACTGGAGAACTGACAATTTGACTAACAATAGACGACTGTTTAACTGTGACAATAGACGGATCGAAACGCACCAACTGACTGATTACGAGTCTTCATAGCAAGTCATAGCCAATAACATCACGGCTTAATTGACAGACGACCATTAACATCGCGACGTAATTGACCAATCAGATCAATAACCAGAGCATAATACCATCAACTGACTTGATACAACTCACTTTGAGTCTGAAGATGACTACCGTACAGGTTGTCGAAACGTCACAGGGGCGGATCCAGGATTTTTTTTTGGAGGGGGTGCACTCGTCTCTTGCTCTACTTCAACACCAATAAACCACATAGTTTTTTTTTTTTGCAGAATACCGGTTGTATTAAAAAACCACAGGTCATCTCGGGGGGGGGGGGGGGGGGGC